TGGGCCCTGGCGATCCTTCCGCCTCAGTCTTCCAAGTAGCTGGAACTACAGGCGCGCGCTACCACGCCCGGCTGATTTTTTGATTTTACTGTGGAGATGAGGTCTCGCCTGCCCAGGTGGGTCTCGAACCCGTGGGCTCAGGCAATCCACTCACCTCAGCCTCCCAAAGGCACGGGATTACAGGCTCAGCCACCAAGCCCGGCAACCTTGGATTTTTCAGTTATTACAAGAATTAAATCAGGTAGTCTATGTGAAGCTATTTTGAGAAAAGCACTATCCATATATATGTATAGAATTACCATATTCCTATGTCTAAGAGCCATGACTTGTGAATAAATTTGTGTTGCTTTGATTACCAGGCTCTAAATCCTATTTCCTTGGTACTGTAACACCCCAGCATTACCAGGAACTGGAGTCAGAGCTAGACTAGAGTCTCTTAGTCCCTGAAAGTATCCTCTAACTTATGTTCAAAGCGGTAAAGTGATGTAGTGCCCAAGAACTCAGCTAGTCTAGGCTATTGACTTTGGACAAGCCACTTGATTTTCTGGGACGAGAGTTTTGTCAGTGGTCAAAAGATGACTTGAATTAGAGTCAAATATTCCTTACAATTTCTCAAGTCATTAATTCAGATGGTTTCACATTTTAAAAATCTTCTTTTAGGAGTACAAGATTAGAGCCTAAAAAACATAGCCTGGTTCTGGCAATGTTTAAGAGACATTCTCTTTAAGAGAAACATTGCTACTGAAACAATATACTCTACGCTTGCTATCTCCTCTCCGGGAAACCCTTACATCAAAAATAAATATACGATTACTCAAATAGCACTTAATAAGGTACTGGACACAGAGAAGCAACCACATACTTTGTAAACAGCTCTCAATTTGAGTCCCAGTTCCTGTTACTTGTTTTCTTATCTATAAAGTGGGAACAATACTTTTCCCCAATGATCCACTGAGACAATAAAATATTAAAATGTTTTTAAACTGTTAGAAATAAGTGCAAGATGTTACTGTTACCTTAGGAACGTAGTTAACCCATGACCTTTCTAGGAAGTGTGCTTTTTCGAGAAATGAATTAAAATCTAACTTAATTTATTATGGACAACAGTACCTACTCCAATGCCTGGATCAACAAACAGACTCAATAAAGGTTTATTGCGTGGAAAGTATAATACACAGAAAGACCAAAAGCTCCATAAGCTCAGGTTCCATGTTTGTTTTTATCTCCAAATTCCCAGTGTCTAGCAGACTATCTAGCACAGCACAGAAGAAACTCAATTATGAGATGACTAAATTTTTGCCCCCTCTAGTGCCTCTTCAGCACAGCTCGAGGGAGAGACTGGCAGGAGAGGCACCAAGGACGGTAAGAGTTGCATGGAGTGGAAAACTGGGAATCACGTGGAGAGTCTACCCATTCTCTACCAAAAAACCCTGGACGGCAGAAAGAGCAGGGGCTCTGAGTTCAAATTCCGTTTCTAAAACCTGGAATTCGGATACATTAATCTACTAACCCCTCCAAGACCCAGTTTCCTAACCTTAGAATAATAGGGTCTCCCTCATACGGTTGCTTGCTTGAACGGAAGATCCATGAAGGCAGGGAATTTATTTGGGGCCCACTACATCCACCCTGCATCGCTCAGTGGTTCGCCCTGCACAGGTTCTCAAACGGTATTTGTTGAATGAATTCGCGAAAGATTGAGAGCGTGAACTAACCCAGGTGAAGCACGGAATGCCGGGCCTGGTACAGAATCCACACTGGGAGAATGGGAACGCCTTCCATCCCCACCACGGTCTCAGTATTACTTTCACGGGCGGGGAAAGGTCTGGTTTCCAACCTCGACTTCCCCACTTACTGGCGGGGTTGTGACTTGGGACGCCCAAACGAGACGGGTTCCTTCTGGTTCCACAACACCTGTGTTGTGAGAATTCAAGGCTACGTGGAAGACACCGAACAGAGCCTGCAGCCTCGTGGGCACGAGACGCATGGCAGACACTGGCACTGAGGCAAAAAATCGCTGAGTCCCCTTTCGCTCAGATAACCTTCAATGTCCCACATTACCGTCGCTGAAAGCAGAACGCGACTGCGAACAAGAGAGGAAGGAATTTCAGAGCCCGAAACCGCTAAATGGAAAAAAAGGGGGGGGGGGATTAAACCAGTGCTTGACAGTTCCCATCAAGAGGTGGTGGTTTCCGCGACGATCCGCCGACCCCACCAGCCAAGGCAGGACAGTCAGTGGCTCCAGGCACCGAACCGAGACACAGGGTTAGACCCTCCCCGTAACGGTCTCCCACTCGCTGGCCTCAGGCGGCCGCCGGACTCCCATATCCGGCCCTCTCCGTACCACAGCTCCCAGCATGCCCTCGGCGGGAAGTCTTTCCCGCGGGGTGACTACTAATCCCAGCATGCCAATCGGCAGGCCAGCACATTCGATGGAAGGGTGGGATGACCCCGTTGCATGCAGGGAACTGTAGTCCACTTAGCTGCTGGCTCCCAGATGGGCGGGGAAGAGCCGGGTTGCTCTCGTCCGCTCCGGAGAATGATTCATAGAGGAGGGTCAGGAGAGAAGAACAGTTCTGTCTGCGAAATCCCTCTCAAAAGACTGGACGCTTCTCGAAAGGAGGGAAGGGCAGGAAAGCCAGCAGGGCCCGAGGCCTGACACCGCTCAGGCCGCTCGCCTGGCCTCCACCGAGCCCCGAGCTCTGTCGGGGGCGGCCGCGAGGCGCCGGTCGCTGGGGGAGCGTGACGTCGCGGGGTGAAAGTTGAGGGGCGGTGACGTCGGGCCTGGCCGGGCGGAGGCTGGCGGGTTGGAGGCAGGAGGGAGGGAGGGAAGGAGGGAAGGAAGGAAGCTGGGAAGGAGCGAGCGAGCGGGGGCGCGAGGCGTTTACCTGGAGGCAGCGGCTTGGGCGCGCAGAGCGGCCGCGGCTCCCCCGCACCTGCGGCCATGGATGAGGAGCGCGCCCTCTACATCGTCCGGGCCGGCGAAGCGGGGGCTATCGAGCGGGTCCTGAGGGATTACGGCGACAAGGTAAAGCGTCCTGGCCCCGGGCGTGCGGTATCGCACCCCCGGGCCGCCCGCGGTGCTTGCACATTGCATCCTTCCCCACCCCCCTCATTCCGGGGATGCGCATTGCTCTCCCCAGAAAACGTTTCCGGCTTGGGCATGCGTGTTTGTGCCCCCAGCCTTTTCCGTCCGTGCATCCTGCATCCCCCTGCCCCCACTCTAGCGCCCACTCCTCTTATTCCTGGCCTAGCAGCCTGTCCTCCGGTCCTCCTCCCAAGCGGGCAAGTCACACCCCCGGAATCCGTAGATGTGCGTCTGTGTCCTGTGCCCCACTCTTGGATGCATAAATGCGTGCGAAGCTTCCTCACCTGTACAGCATAAAAATACGTGCTTCTCTGCATAAACACGGCCCTTGACATGCATAAAATGTATCCGCCACGATGGCAGTTTATTTTTTTTACCTATAGCACTGTACGACTTTCAAGGCGTTGATGTCTCATGTATGGTCTCATTTGATCCTCAGAGTGTTTATAGGGTAGATGGTATCATCTTCCCCCTTTTATAGATGAGGAAACCGAGGTGCAAAGAACTGAAATCACGCCCAAGGTCATGGACATATTATGTTGTAAGTGGGTGGAGAATCTAACTCCTAATAATGCCTATTATTTGTATCGCATTAACAGCTTTCCTATCCATTATCTCATTTAATCTTGACAGCAATCCTGGGAGGTATTATCTACATTTTGCAATTGAGACTCTAGATAGGTTAAGTAACTTGCCCAAGGTCATATTTGGAGCCGTATTCCAACCTAGGTCTTCAAACCGTCCATTCATTATTCTTTCCACTTTACAACTCGGCAGTAAAGTAGTATCTTGTTATAAATCCCAGTCACTTCTCTGAATCTCTTTCCAAGAACCGTTAGTTCTTCATTGCTTTTCCTTCCAAGAATTTTACATACTTACTTCAAAAGATAGCATGCCACACCTCTATTCTTTGGTTTGGAAGGCTATTGGAATGACTGACTACTCCCTTCTGTGAACACACACCCAACACCAAGTCACACCCTAGCTATAACATCTTTCTTCCTTTTATTTACCTCAGTTCATAGTATCCACTTCTGTGTTTGCTATGTGCCCACCACTGCATTCATACATTTTGTATTATTGAGCTGCCCATATGCTATTTCTGTGCTAGGTGGAAAAAATTCAAGAACAAGACACAATATTTATGAAGAGCCTTCATTCCTGTTTAATCTTCCCAACAACTCTGTGAGGAGAATTTAAGAAGATAATGTAGTTCCAGCTACTGAGAAATGGAACAGAGTGTTGTTTTTTCAACTGGGCTCTCACTCTGTTGCCAGCCTGAAGTGCAGTGGCAGAATCACAGCTCACTGCAGCCTCTACCTCCTGGGCTCAGGCAATCCTTCTTCCTCAGCTTCCCGAGTAGCTGGCACTACAAGTATGCACCACCATGCCCTGCTAATTTTTTAATTTTTTGTAGAGGCAAAGTCTTGCAGTGTTGCCTGGACTGGTCTCAAACTCTTGGGCTCAAGCACTCCTTCCGCCTCAACTTCCCAAACTGCTGGGATCACTGGCTTGAACCACCATGCCTGCCTGGAGCTGAGATTTGAATATAGATTGTCTGACTCTAAGCCCAGTGCTCTTTCTACAATACTATGCTGCTTCCTTCGTGATGATGCATAAGTTCTATACTATTCATATCTTAGCTTCTTCACTTTCTGATATGCTTTACTATTGAACTTATTTGCCAAACTTAGAAGAAACTCATTTAATGCATAAGTGTACTTATTGGGGAGATCATAATCATTTAACCTGATTTATAGCCGTTTTCCAGAAAAGATAGGCAGCTACAAACTGAATTTCTTTCTTTCTTTCTTTCTTTTTTTTTTTGAGTTGGAGTCTCACTCTGTCACCCAGGCTGGAGGGCGGTGGCATGCCTCTCGGCCACTGCAACCTCATCCTGCTGGGCTCTGGTGATCCTTCTGCCTCAGCCTTCCAAGAAGCTGGAACTACAGGCTCATGCCACCATGCCCAGCTAAGTTTTTGATTTATTGTAGAGACAAGGTCTCGCCAAGTTGCCCGGGCTGGTCTTGAACCTGCGGCCTCAGACGATCCACTCGCCTCTGCCTCCCAAAGTGCAGGAATTATAGGCTGAGCCACCAAGCCTGGCCTGATTTTCAAATGAAAGAAAAACAACAGAGAACTTGGCCACTGTATCGAATCAACTGGTGTTTATTAAGCACTTATTATATGTCAGATGCCCAGCAATAAATAGGAATATTTTTCTATAGGGGAGGGGGGAAGAAAAAACCTTCAGGTGGATCTTAATCACCTTCAATATTTCTCCTTCCCTTCATGGCTAAACTAATTAGGCTCCAGATTTGCTTCCTCCAGTTTTTCTTTTCTCCTTGATCTCCCTCCAGGTTGGCTTCCACTTACCACTTCTGGTCAAGTGCTGTCACAGCTAAATCCTGGATAACACCAGCTCCCCTTTTTCACATTGAGAATGTTTTTAAAGTTGTTTTGCCCAATGCGTATTGTTTAAGGTGATATCCTGAAGTACTGTAGAAGATTTCCAAACACTTGTAATTTGGAGGCCAAGCTTAAGAGTGCCTGACTTGATGTGAACTGTGTCAGCTCTCTCAGAAGAAAGCTCTCATATTTAATGCTGATTATTATTATTATTATTATTATTTTTGAGTTGGAGTCACACTCTGTCACCCAGTCTGGAGTGCAGTGGCCGCTCCCGGCCACCGCAGCCTCAACCTGCTAGGCTCCAGCGATCCTTCCGCCTCAGCCTTCCAAGTAGCTGGAATTACAGGCATGTGCTACCACGCCCAGCTGATTTTTTTTGATTTATTGTAGAGATGAGGTCTCACCTGCCCAGGCGGGTCTCGAACCCGCGGGCTCAGGCAATCCACTCACCTCAGCCTCCCAAAGGCGCGGGATTACAGGCTGAGCCACCAAGCCCGGCTTAGTGCTGATTATTGAAGGGCTGGTTGTAATACAAAGAAAGTGGCTGAGCTTCATGTTTCAGTGAGCTTTGCTCCTCAAAAGGAGAGATTTTGGGGGAAGATGAATAGAGAGGGGATGTGTGATCATGGTTCAGAGCCATCTATCTGGTTCTAGAAATCAGACAGTAAGAATGGGGAGGTAGAATTAAATTGCCCAGTTCTGTGGCATATGGAGCTTGAAATCTCCAAAAACTAACTGAATACCATGTTTTTCAGTTTCATTATCTGGAAAAAATGGATTTGATAAATGTTTGAAATAAGAAGTGATTGTGGCCGGGCTCTGTGGCTCAGCCTGTAATCCCGCGCCTTTGGGAGACTGAGGTGAGTGGATTGCCTGAGCCCGCAGGTTCGAGACCTGCGTGGGCAACTTGGCGAGACCTCGTCTCTACAATAAATAAAAAATTAGCCAGGCGTGGTAGTGCGCGCCTGTAGTTCCAGCTACTTGGAAGGCTGAGGCGAAGGATCACCAGAGCCCAGTAGGTCGAGGCTGTGGTGGCCGGGAGTGACAGAGTGAGACTCCAACTCAAAAAAAAAAAAAAAAAGAAGTGATTGTGAGGCATTGAGGAAGTACAACCAAGAGATAAATTTAATAATGTAGACAGAACAAGCAGGTGATTGGGTCATTTTTTTTGGAGAGGAGTGGGGAGGTTCTTTATGCTACTTTATTTTTCCAGTAAAGCCAGTTATTGAAAGAAAGCAATTTAGTAGAAAAAAGGTGAAATTTGGCATCGGATGAACCTTGGTTCAAACCTCAACTCTGCCATTTATTAGCTTTATGACTGTGGATAAGTTCTTTTAAGCCTCTGAATCTCAGTTGCCTTATCTGTAAAATAGGGATAATATCACCATTCTCTTAAATAACTGTGAGGATTAAATTAAATGAAGTATAATGCCAACACTGAACACAGTGCACCTAGGAGGCACTCACTCAGTAAATTACAATCATAATGATCAAGGTACTCAAGAGGTCGTGTGGTCAGAGCACAAGCTCTGGAGCCAAACTACCTGGACTCTGATCCTCAACTTAATGATTTGTGTGACTCTAGGACAAGTTACTTAACTTTGCTGTGGCTTAGTTTCCTCATCTGCCAAGTGAGCATGATAATAGTACCTATATCACAGGGTTGTTGTCAGGATTAAATGAATTTTATGTGTAAAGTACTTACAACAGTACCTGCCACTGAGGAAGCACCCCATAACTGTTAGTCTTGGACAAAAAAGGCAGGAATTAAATAAGTGGCACTGAGTTGACATCACGACATGAAAATTTGGGTATATGCGCAGTTCTTCCCTTTCTCTCTCTAATGGATACCAAAACATCTATGTTCAGAGCCATCTATCTGGTTCTAGAAATCATCTAATTTCTACAGTATTATAGAGATCATTTCCAAGCCTTCTTGCTTCATTCAATGACTCTTGTTATCTTGGGGAGAGGAAAGATCTATCTGTCCCAGAAAGAACAAAACTTGTCTGTTTGTCAAGGGCATAATGCAAGTTGACTCAGCATAGGAGAGTATTTTTTTTTTTTAAATAGGAGGAGTGGTTGTTTTTCCCTTCTTTCAGTTCACCTGTTAACATTTATTGAGTACCTGCTACGTACTATATATTATCCTAAACACTTTCACATTTCATGCGTCATCACATATAATCCTTTTATGTTAAAACTTAGGAGAGAGATTGAAATACTCTATATATTTTCTCAAGGGCACATAGCCAAGAAGTGGCAGATCTGGTCTTCAGATTCTATATCCAGGCTTTTTTTTGCAGGACCATGTTGCCTTTATTCTGTCTGTTCTGTGTTTTTGAACACAGAAGTTTTTTTCAGGAGCAGTATGCTACAGTCATAACTAGGTACCCATGGAGGTTCCAGGACTTCCTGTGGATACCAAAATCTGCAGATACTCAAGTCCCTGGTATAAAATAACATAGCATTTACATATAACCTGTGCACATCCTGTTGTATACTTTAAGTCATTTCTTTTTTATTTT